AGCTTTGGACTGATACTGTGTATATTTGCTCCAAAGTGTTTCATCATTTTGTTTCAACCAGAGAAGAACACCAAAAAACATTTAATGAACAAAAACCCAATGTAAACTGTAAATGTCTTGAATATCAGATTGCCAGCAATGATGTGATAAGTCATGCAAAAAAAACTTAAACTGCTCATGGTCACCAAATACGTATGTCATGTTTATTTTTGCTTTTTTACATTTAGAATAATATTGAAGCGTATGTTTAAATTCGCAAATTAAATTTGAAATCTTCATCTTCATACTGTTGAGTCTGGATTTTTCATTTTATTTCAGGTTTTGTTTCAATGCAATTGAAGCCATAATTCAATAGTACACATGGAATGATTTAAGTCCCTTTAAAGGTTAATGTGAGCCTTTATAAAGTTCTAAGGGTTAGAGTCCCAGTTGACGGCGTTTCAACTAAAGTCCTAAGGGTTAGGGTAGGGCTCCATTAAGTCTCAAGAATCCCATTCAATATGCGCCAACATGTTGGAAAAGGCTCTCTGGTATCAGGGAAAGCAAACACGGATATTTTGGCATTAAGTAAACGGGACATTTTGGGTGATTTTTGCGACATTTGGGAGCATTGAACTTTTCTGAATTTTCCACAAGATGGGGCTCTTGTATTATGATCAGAGTCGTGGGGGGTGGCTGGCTGCCACGGAGGAGCACGGACTGTGTCCTAAGGTAGCATTGGAGACTTTTCTTTCTTTCTGAGCAAGAAAAGTCTCCACACTTCCGGTGGTCGACCGGAAGTGTGTGTTGGGGTTTTTCAGGACCGGGTGTGTGTGTGGGGGTTTCGTGCATCCACTGGTGGACCAGTTGCAGGGGTCCACCGTGAGGGAGGGTCGGGCTTCCACGAGGGAGCATGGGCCATGTCCTAAGGGAGCATTTGAGGCTTCTCTTCTTTGCAGAGTACTGGGATACATTGGGAAGGTGAGTTGGCATTCTGTGGGACCAGTGGTGTTGGTGTTGGTTCTGGAGCTCCAGGGGGTGGTCCAGCCGAGGTCCATGTGTGGTTTAGGTGCCTGAATCCCAGGTAGAGAAGGTCCATGAAACTCCCGGGTTCTGGAGAACCAAAACTGGTTCAAGATTAAGTCCTTGGTCCTCCATGGTTCTTGAGCTAGGGTTATGGGGGTAGGGTTATGATTGTAGGGTTGGGTTTAACATCCCTGGGGATCCCACAGCCAGAAGGATTTCATGATCTCGTCTTGCAGGGTTCTAGTGACCAAATCCTGGGTAAGGACCCTCCATGAAAATTAGTAAAGTACCGTGACATCAGGGAGGATTAGTCAATGCTCCCAAACGTCAGTCTGCTGATGAAAATAGCCACTGAACTACTGGAGCCAGGTTAACTTTGTAGGTCCTGAGTCATTAAACCGGAAGGTGAAATCAAGTTCACCTGCATAGTTGGAGATTGCTGGTACTGTCGGTGCACATGTAAAATAGCCACTGAACTACTAGAGCCAGGCCTGGTTCCTGGTTTTTATCTTTCAAAATATATATTATATATTAGTACTGAAAGAGATGTTTAAATCTGAATATATTGAAAAAAGTCCACTTATCTAAAGTTCTTTTGTTTTAAATACTTGCTCCATTTCCATTTTATTTGCCCTATAGTGTGTTTTTAGTCTTAATCCCATGTTACTGTTTCTCTTGTATGTTGTTGCAGTGTTTGTTTGTACTCTACAAGGGACAGTTGTGTAGTAAATATAAAAGAAGCTATCAGTTTGCAATTGCTGCCAACATGACTCACCAGAGCTCCACAAAAATAATTAATACACAACTCTTGTACCCAAAAAGCCCAGCTATAAACAAGTTATAATCTGTTAAGCCAAGTCGGAACACAAAAAAAAGTTTGTATGGAACACTTTGGGTGTAGTTTTTTACCATGTTTCTGGCACACATCAAGTCTAAAAAGGACTTGCTTCTTATCCTCCTCCTACTACACTTAAGTAATAGCGCGCACCATGCTGGTGCTAATTAAAACTATGCAGATATATCACAAAGACAAGTGTTATGGGATGCAACAACAAGAATCACGCTGCTATCAAAATCCATGGATGGTGAGAACAAATCAGACAGCTAGATGATGTAATCTGTGTGATGTAATGATGATGTTTTGGAGAAGAGTTATATGGAGCAAGAGCAACACTCACATCCACCTTTAGAGACTTGAGGGATGGAGAACTCATCTCTCCTTAATGGCTTAAGACTGGCTCATATTTGGCTCATATTTGTTGCTTTTGGTGTATCAGATAGAGTGAAAAATGGGGCTTTAGCTATCAACTGTACTCTGCAGGGTACAGCTCGCATGCCTGCATTCTCAATGGATGGGGAGTTCATTATTGGCGGGGTTTTTTCCTTACGTTACAAGGAGATCACAAAGATTCACAGCTACACAATTGTGCCTGAGCCGCCCACCTGCACAGGGAGGTTGGTAAGAGGGAGCATGGTGGGATATGAAGAGATTTATACTGAAAACTGAAAAGGTTTTTATTTGAATGCTTCAAAGTGCAATGATTTATTTAACAGAATTTTTTTATTATTATTTTTAACATCAAAATTAATTTCAACAGAGTAAAAATTAGTTTCTGTATTGGTGAGCTTGTGTAGATGGCACAACTTCATCTGCCAAGGTGAATGGAGAGGGTCAGATGTGATAAGAAACGACTTTATTACTAGATGATACTCTTTAGTCTATGGTATTATCTAGATTGTGAAAATGTAAAAAGATTTTCTTCAACAACAAAAAAAAAAAGCAGTAACATGTAAATATCTGTGTGCAGTGTCAACAGTCGTGAACTACGCCTTGCTCGTGCAATGATCTTTGCAATTGAGGAGATAAACAACAGCACAGAGCTGCTGCCTGGGATTAAACTCGGGTATAAGATCTACGATTCATGCGCCTCTGTGTCTGTGGCCACTCATGTGGCATTTCAGCTGTCAAACGGGGAGGACCCCGTGATTCAGACAGGCCATAATTGTTCTAATTTAGGAGTGGTAATGGGTGTTATTGGTGCCTCTAGTTCCACACCATCTATTGGCATTTCACGCATCTTTGGTCCCTTCAATATTCCTCTGGTAAGAAGTTTGAATTTATCAGAAAATATAAAAATTTATTTCAGTGTATGTCTGTTAAAAAGATGAATTGTTGTTTTTGTTGCTTCAGGTGAGCCACTTTGCTACATGTGCATGTCTGTCAGATAAGCAGCAGTTCCCGACTTTCTTCAGAACAATTCCCAGTGACCATTATCAAGCTGATGCGTTGGCCAAACTGGTGAAACACTTTGGTTGGACTTGGATAGGAGCCATTTACTCTAACACAGATTATGGAAGAAATGGCATGGCATCTTTTCTTGAAGCAGCACACAAAGAAGGGATCTGTGTGGAGTACACTGAATCTTTTTATCGGACTGAACCACAAAAGATTCAAATAGTAGCAGATGTCATCCGCAGGTTTTAGCCACTTCTATTTTCTTAATGTGCTTAGTTAAGATGTAGACCGTTTTTATTAACCACTTCAAAACACTTTTAAGACAATTAAAAACTGATTTCATACAAGTAAATCTGAAAGTAGCTTTAAACGTTTTTTTTCTCTTCAGGTCAACTTCAATCGTTGTGGTGGCTTTTACAGCCGCTGGTGATATGAAATTCTTGTTAGAGGAGCTAAACCAACAACCTTCTCCTCCTCGTCAGTGGATTGGAAGTGAGGGCTGGATAACAGACCTTCAGCCAATGAGATTCAGTTTCAGTGCAGGAGCCATTGGAGTTGCTATTCAGCAATCTGTCATCCCTGGATTTGGAGACTTCCTGCTGCGTCTGTCTACCTCTGAAGTAGCCGCCTCCTCCGTCCTCACAGACTTCTGGGAGGAAGCATTCAACTGCAGCTTGAAGAAAAGTGAGAAACGAACATGATCAAGTCTCAGTTTAGATTTCTCTCTTATTAAGTAATATGATTAAAGGTTCAAACTTGATCATATTCTTTAGACAGAAAACTGTATTTCTTACAACTTGTGAAATGATAATGGGTTATTTTATTATACTTATAAGTCTTTTGATGATGTTACAAGATATACAATATTCATATTACAGTGAATAATTTTAAACCTCTCATTTCCCTAAGGTTAATAAGTATAACTAAGTTGAAATGCTGAAAGAATCACTATAAAATCAATATTAAATTATAATAACACTTTATTTTTCTTTGCCTAATTTTAGCTCTTTCTAAAGAAAAGAGGCTTTGTGATGGAACTGAAGACTTAGTGACTCTCAAGATCCCGTTTACTGAAACGTCTAAATTCAGAATTACCAACATGGTGTACAAGGCTGTTTATGCCATAGCACATGCAATTCACACTGCAGTGTGTCAGGAAACTAATTTCACTACTACCTGTATAAAACAAAAAACGTTTGACAAAAATCAGGTGGGATTAAAGCTAAATATATTCTCTTGATAGAAATAAATATTTTTTTATTATTTCAGTGTTGTTGAAATTCTATTTACTCACTTTTATCATTTTCATCTTGTCAGGTTTTTACTGAGCTAAAGAGAGTGAATTTTACCCAGAATGGTTACCATGTGTCATTTGATGCTAATGGAGACCCTGTGGCTTCATATGATGTTGTTAACTGGCAGAAACCTGAGAGTGGGATTATTGAACTGGTAACAGTGGGGTACTATGATGCATCACTGCCCAAAGGCCAGGAGTTTCGCATTTACAAGAATCTAACCTGGTTGGATGGAGACATGCAAGTAATGAAAAGAGTGCAACATTGCTCATCTTCTTGAAATCATATGTTTAACTATTTTTTTTTTGTTTTGTTTCAGGTTCCAGTCTCTGTTTGCTCAGAGAGTTGTCCTCCAGGAACTCGTAAAGTGTTGCAGAAAGGAAAACCAATCTGCTGCTATGACTGCATACCATGTCCTGAAGGAGAGATCAGTAATATGACAGGTGATTGTAATGTTTTCCTGCAAACCTGCAACATCAAACAGTAAAGGAGTAACAACCATTTATAACTTTATTTTCAGATTCTCCTGATTGCATTCCATGTCCAGGAGAGTTCTGGTCAAATGCAAAGAGAGATGCCTGTTTTCCCAAACCTGTGGAGTTTCTTTCCTTTGATGAAGTCCTGTCAATCATCCTGGCTGTATTTTCTGTTTGTGGAGCCTGCCTGGCCATTATTACATCATTAATTTTCTTCCACCACAGAACAACACCAATTGTCAGAGCCAACAACTCTGAGCTGAGCTTCCTGCTTCTCTTTTCTCTTATTCTGTGTTTCTTATGTTCACTAACTTTCATTGGAGCCCCCTCTGAGTGGTCCTGCATGCTGCGGCACACAGCGTTTGGCATCACATTTGTTCTCTGTATCTCCTGTGTTTTTGGCAAAACTTTAGTGGTTCTAATGGCCTTTAAAGCTACACTTCCTGGTAGTAATGCTATGAAATGGTTTGGTCCTCCACAACAAAGGATGACTGTAGTGTCTTTTACATTTATTCAAGTTATAATATGTATCATATGGTTGGTTGTGAGTCCTCCCTTCCCAGTGAAAAATCTGACCACCTACAAGGAGAAGATCATCCTGGAATGTGCGTTAGGCTCTGCTGTTGGTTTCTGGGCTGTGCTCGGCTACATCGGCCTGCTGGCTGTGTTTTGCTTTGTGTTAGCTGTTCTAGCTCGGAAACTACCTGATAATTTCAACGAAGCCAAGATGATAACCTTCAGCAGGTTGATATTCTGTGCCGTCTGGATCACCTTCATCCCAGTTTATGTCAGCTCTCCTGGAAAATTTACTGTGGCTGTGGAGATATTTGCCATTCTGGCCTCCAGCTTTGGACTGATACTGTGTATATTTGCTCCAAAGTGTTTCATCATTTTGTTTCAACCGGAGAAAAACACTAAGAAACATTTAATGAACAAAAACACAACGTAAAATATGAATGTGTAATGATGTGATGTCAGATTTTTATAAGTCATCTAGGAATGCTTAAATTGATCATGCTCCCAAAATACCCATTGTTTTATTTATATAATTTTAACTGTATTTTATTTCTTTTTTTAAGTTAAAGTTCATCTTTAAATTTTCAAATTACGTTTTAATTTTATGATGTGGATTTCACTTTTGATTTTATATTTATTTCAGTTTTGTTGAATTGACACGATAAATCATCTTTCAGTTGTACATTTGAAAGTTCCCCCTAACATTCACTGTGTCGTTTCTATTTTGACGTACTTCATGAAATGTTCTGATTATTTTCTTTTATTTCAATAACCCATGGAACCCAGAACTATGTATTGATGAGACACAAAAATGTTGACAATTTTTTTTTTTTTTTTACTATGTCTGATAGATTTAATACATTGATATTGCAATAACTGAAACTGAATAGTGATTTGTCTGGCCTTTATGAGTACTCCACTATTAAAAATGTCACATTTGTTTTTTTGACCTACAAATAGGTTTTCCTATTATCTCAATGAGTTTAGAGAATCTGTTTTTGTCCTGAAAAAGAAGCAATAAGGTGAGGTACAGATATTACAATAACACTGTTATGAAAATACGCTTATGCTCTTACGCTGAAGAAGAAAACGAGGGAGCCGTTTGTCTGGTCTGACCATTGTTTATACAGACCAGGTTGGGGCCCACCCAGTACACGCGAGGGATAAACCCACTAGCGATCGCCTCAAAGGGCGAAGCCTATACGAAATAGAACTGTGGGTCTCATCAGTGAATGTACTCATGTAGTTATGTATTTTCACCATTTCCAAAAGCTGGTGATTGGGAATAGTAAAAGAAACTTTGCCTGATCGCCCAACTACACTCAACCCCAACCCCACTTTCTCTTTTTTTATTCAGTAAAACAATAATGAGCATCCCCACAGCATGATGCTGTCAAATCCTAATTTATGAAACAGTTCTTTTTTTTTTTTCCTTTTGAATTTCAGGCTTATATATATTTTTGTAAAGCACTTATGGTGCCAGACGTTAAAACTGGCAGCTAAAAACAAACAGTCCGTCCAAAAGATTTTGCCAATATAATAAGCAAAGTTCGTTTAAACAGAGAAAAGAAAAGAAAATCTACACTGTAAGGCTTAAACACACAACCAACGATTGCTGGGACAGAGCATGTGATTTTTGAGCCGAAATAACCCGACGTATAAAAGAGGAGGTTCAACCAGTAAAAGCACACTTTGAGAAAGAGAAAGAGAGAGAGAGAGAGAGAGAGAGAGATTAGAGCACTTGAGGAATGGAAATCTGGAGATCAGCTTTACGTTTATTGGAGCTGATGGCAGTAGTTGTCTCCGGTGGGTTTCTGGATGGTTTGAAAAACCGGAGTGGACTCGCAGAGGCTGGAAGTGGTGCCAGCACTGAGACTCCATCGGTAGAATGTACCCTGCAGGGTACGCCTCGTTCACCCGTCTACTCAGCAGACGGGGACTTTATCATTGGAGGTGTTTTCTCTATTCATTACCAACTTTACACAGTGATCTATAATTACACCACCAAGCCTGAGCCTCCAAGGTGCGCAGGGAGGTCAGTAAGATAAGAGAGAGAAATTGACAGGATGTTAAAGATTTATTTAGGATGCACAGAGAAGGGCTTTTTTTAAAAAACAATACTGTGTATTTCTTCGGTAATATTGTGCAGAACTTTAAGTAGATGCTATTGCAACTTGATTTTGCTTCTTTACAAAACCACACACACACTTTGATTTACTACTGGCCAGTAAATCTAAATATTACATGGTCAACATTCCCAGTTAGGAGTTTGACTCTTTCTAGCTGCCACATTGAAATTCACCTTAAGTTCTGAATAATGTGTGATGTCATACTTTGAATTCTGTTGGGAAAAATATTTTACTTGTCTTGGTAAAGAGGTAAAATATGGCACCAAATGGATTCTGAGGCTGTTTTTTTTTTTGGTATAAAGTTTCTGTGCAATTTCTTCGGATTTCTTTCTTTTTTTTTCTGCTCAGTATTGATGCCCGGGAACTGCGCTTCTCTCGTTCAATGATCTTTGCCATCGAAGAGATAAACAATCGCATGGATCTACTGCCAGGCATCAAACTCGGATATCAGATCTACGATTCGTGTGCGTCTGTCCCCGTTGCTGTTCACGTGGCGTTTCAGCTGTCAAACGGCCAGGACCCCGTGTTTCATAAAGGCGCCAACTGTTCTCAGTCCGGCGTGGTGATGGCTGCTGTTGGTGAATCTGGATCTACGCCATCCATCAGCATGTCACGCATCATGGGCTCTTTTAACATCCCTCAAGTAAATATTCATTTTATTTGAAGCTGAGGATAGAAAAAAATGAATTCGCTGCACATTAATCTTGTTTTTAAAGACATCATGTTTCGCTTTAGGTGAGCCACTACGCCACTTGTGCCTGTCTATCAGATAAGCAACAATACCCAAATTTCTTCAGAACAATACCCAGTGACCAGTTCCAAGCTGACGCCCTGGCCAAGCTGGTGAAACACTTTGGCTGGACTTGGATAGGAGCCGTCCACTCAGACTCGGACTATGGAAATAGTGGCATGGCGTCTTTTCTTGAAGCAGCTCTCAGAGAGGGGATCTGTGTGGAGTACACTGAATCTTTCTTTAGAACTGACCCAGGCAGCAAGATCCAAAGAGTCGCCGATGCCGTCCGCAGGTGACACTTGTTGCATGTGTCTGATTTTGCTGACCCTTCACTGCAACAACAGAAAATCTTACCAAGTATTTTTGTTTTAGTTTCTAGTGCAAATTTAACTTACAAGTATCTTTTCAGCTTGATATAAGAGCTTGTTTTAAGTCAATGATTTCTTAATATTGACGATAAAGGACAAATTCTGTCCTTGCATATAAAAAACAAAGATCCGAAAAATCTACTTTTATCATGAAATACCCATATGTTTACCTTTAGATTATAAAATGTAAATTACAAATGATAATGGTTTTGCATTTTCATGTAATGTCACAGGTCAACAGCCATGGTTGTTGTGGCATTTATTGCTTCTGGAGACATGAGGGTCCTGCTGGAGGAGCTGGATCGCGCTCCTCCACCACCTCGCCAGTGGATTGGCAGTGAGTCCTGGGTGACCGACACTTTCATGGTCAGATACAGTTTCTGTGCAGGAGCCATCGGAGTTGCTATCCCGCAGTCTGTCATCCCGGGCCTGAGAGACTTCCTCCTGGGTCTCTCTCCGTCAGAAGTGGCTGCCTCCCCACTGCTTACTGAGTTCTGGGAGGATGCATTCAACTGCAGCCTGACAAAAAGTAAGAGCACTTTCCCGAATTCTGAGATGTTTTGTACTTATTTTTATTTTTACATATTAAATATACTATCTGCTTTAAGATCAAACAGAAAAGGTCTGCTATATTTACATCCGGAACTACATTTTCCAGTTATACCGATTGAGTTTAAATTTTTTTTTCTTTCTTATAATTGTGAGGAAAAAAATAGGACTGTGTGGTCAATATTTAAGCCACATAAAATTGTGATAAAATGTTTTATCATTTGACACAAAACACTTGTTTGCGTCTTCAGATCCTGCAGCAAACAAGGGCGTGTGTGACGGAACTGAAGACCTAAAACAGCTGAAGAACCCGTACACCGAAACATCTCAGCTGAGAGTGACTAACATGGTGTACAAAGCTGCTTATGCTGTAGCGCATGCTTTTCACAATGCACTGTGTCGGAAAACAAACACCACCATTCAGTGTGACAAATTCATCAATCTGAATGCAAGTCAGGTTAGTCCAAATGAAAACCAAAACTCTGAGTTTTTTCTTTTCTTTAATAATAATATTGCTTATAATAATAATAATAATAATAATAATAATAATAATAATAATAATAATAATAATAATAATAATTATTATTATTATTATTATTATTATTATTATTATTATCTATTTGACATTGTTCCTTTGTTGTTCCAGATTTTTTCCGAAATGAAGAAAGTAAATTTTTCTCAAAATGGTTACCATGTCTCGTTTGATGCTAATGGGGAACCTGTAGCTGCGTATGAGGTGGTCAACTGGCAAACAACTGAGAGTGGAGGCACTGAGGTAGTGACTGTGGGTTATTATGATGCATCACTGCCAGGAGGACAGCAGTTCCAGATCAATAGGAACATAACGTGGATGGGGGGTGGATCACAAGTAATGACAGTAACAGTTTAACAGATCAGGAGCTTGTGTTTTAAACTAATATTTTTTACATTTTTTTGCTTACAGGTACCAGTCTCCGTTTGCTCAGAGAGTTGTCCTCCAGGAACTCGTAAAGTGTTGCAGAAAGGAAAACCAATCTGCTGCTATGACTGTGTACCATGTCCTGAAGGAGAGATCAGTAATATGACAGGTAGAATCTATTATTTTTCAGAATCATTAAATGTGTAACCAATAAAAACCCTGTATGGTTTCATTTTTAGACTCGCCTGATTGCTTGCCATGTACCAGAGAGTTCTGGTCAAATGCAAAGAGAGATGCTTGCATCCCCAAACCTGTGGAGTTTCTATCCTTCGATGAAGTCCTGTCAATCATCCTGGCTGCATTCTCAGTCAGTGGAGCCTGCCTGGCCATCATTACAGCAGTGATTTTCTTCTTTCACAGGGCAACACCAATTGTCAGAGCCAACAACTCTGAGCTGAGCTTCCTGCTGCTCTTCTCTCTGACTCTGTGTTTCTTATGTTCACTAACTTTCATTGGAGCCCCCTCTGAGTGGTCCTGCATGCTGCGGCACACAGCGTTTGGCATCACATTTGTTCTCTGTATCTCCTGTGTTCTTGGCAAAACTATAGTGGTTCTAATGGCCTTTAAAGCCACACTTCCTGGTAGTAATGCTATGAAATGGTTTGGTCCTCCACAGCAAAGAATGACTGTAGTGTCTTTTACATTTATTCAGGTTATAATATGTATCATATGGTTGGTTGTGAGTCCTCCCTTCCCAGTGAAAAATCTGAGCACCTACAAGGAGAAGATCATCCTGGAATGTGCGTTAGGCTCTGCTGTTGGTTTCTGGGCTGTGCTCGGCTACATCGGCCTGCTGGCTGTGTTTTGCTTTGTGTTAGCTGTTCTAGCTCGGAAACTACCTGATAATTTCAATGAAGCCAAGATGATAACCTTCAGCATGTTGATATTCTGTGCCGTCGGGATCACCTTCATCCCAGCTTATGTCAGCTCTCCTGGAAAATTTACTGTGGCTGTGGAGATATTTGCAATTCTGGCCTCCAGCTTTGGACTGATACTGTGTATATTTGCTCCAAAGTGTTACATTATCTTGTTTCAGCCGGAGAAAAACACTAAGAAATTTCTCATGAACAAAAACTAATCCCACATAATCAAAG